TGTACTTTACCATATATAAATATCAATGGCTGTTTGTATGTTTACGTTTTGTCGACAATATTTGATTGTTATTGAGTTCAAAACCAGGAAGACATGCGGCAGAAAGGCTTCTAAAGGCTAATCCAATAATGCTGCTCGCTTATGAAAAGTATTTGTATTGTATTGAGGGATATTCTGAGCCGTTTGCTAATTTTTGCAGTTGTACAATATAAAGAAGAAGGCCTACTTAAATATTATTCGTGTAAATATTGGCGGTTTTTTAAATAGGTACTGTCATATAATATTTCTACAGTCAGCTTATATACATATATCAAAAAGTTATATACATATATCAAAATGTTAAGGATAATGTAACGATTTGCTTTCCGGTGTATATCTCGCCTGAGATAATTATGTACTTTGAGCGGTCTGGTACTGCAGATGAACAAATCGGACCATTGAATGTTAATCCAACAATATCAAATGGTTTAACTAAAGTCCAAATTATGCTACGGAACTTTAATTTGGTGAAAGGTATCACAGTAGGGAGACATCTGTAGTGTTTAACATTTTTGGAAAAGCAGCTGAGACACCACTGTAATTGGTTTCATGTACATCTTTTTAAGCTTAATCATGTTTGGCAGTGATTTGAATAACGAGGAAATCAGCTAATAACCACATCCCGCACCTAGTATTTTTTGGAATTACCGAAAGTATAACAACTATCGGAATAACATTTTCGACACTCCATCAATTTTCTCAAAATTCAGTTAAAGCCACCGATAAGGCATTACTATAATTACGTTATAAATTGGGGCTTCAAACACGCGCACCTACACACCCGTAGGACACCATTTTGAGTTCCATCCGCGTATTTTACTTTACAATAACTCAATCATTAAAACTGAAATAGCACTTCTCATATTTTGGAACTTTGATCCAAAAATATACTGTACACGGGTTACAAGGATATCTGCGCTTCAGGTTGACCATATGCCATATATGGTGATGGACACTTCATTGTTTGACGGAATCGTGAATGGATTACAATCAAACAATCCAATTTGGTATTTTATTAACTTATTTTGAAGGTCATAGACTGACTTAGTTTTATTACAATATTTTACTACCCGTCAGCAAAAATTATATTAAAATCCTCCTCAAATGAGAAATATGTGATATAAACTCAACCGAAGAGGATAAATTTAATATATTGAGTTGATGTGAAAAACGTAAACCAAAGGATCAGAACTCATTATATAAGGGATATTAATATAATTTGATAATTCTACGAAACCGTGTCCACTCAATTTCATTAAAATATCATACATTTTGACCAATCTAAACGGTTTAAGGTCAGGTGGAAAGTCGGAAATCATAATATAGAATATTATTGGGGCAGAGAAATGGAAAGGTTGACTGCTTAATTATATGGGGGCTAACATTTTAGGCAAAAAGATACACAGTTATTAGCAACATACGCTCTCCCGATTTCATTAAAATAACTCCCACATTGGAAGACATAAGGGGTATAAAGTCAACTGTAAGTTCGAAAATCTTTTTACCATTTTCCCTGAATTCTAAAAATATATCTCATATCGACATTTTCCATAAAAGTTCGATTTTGAAGATTTTTAAACCCGAGATGGTATACGGGCATAATAATGACGTTAGTTGTGCAAAGTTTTAACACAATACATTAATTATTGCTTTGTTTGTGTACTGGAAAGTAAAGAATCAGATGGAATTTAAAATTGTGTTCTGTGGGAAGTGGACGTGTTTGAAGTTCAGGGTTTTATATATACAAGTATTAATGATCAGGATGACGAGGCGAATTAAAATCCGGATGTCTGTCTGTCCATGCGTCTTTCCCCCTGCGGGTAGGGGTAAGAATTTACCCACGGTAAGGCATGCCTGTCGTAAATGGCGACTAAAAGCCAAATGCACTACGACTGTTAATTTATTTTGCCCAGAATTATCAGCATAGTAAATGATGTCAGAAATAGTGCTATAATACTCAGCTTAAACTGATATTATAGACTTTAAATGAGATTCCAAATAAAAAGACATTTGAAGTTCAAGCGACAAATATCACCAGTCATTGAGTAAGGCGGAGCTCAACTGGCAGTAGCTTCGGCTACACAGTCTTACCGAAGAGCAGAATGCCCTTGGACTTCGGTTCAATCTGCTCATTGGGTTCGGCCCTTTGAGAAGTATCGTGGTGGCTGTGGTTCAAACCTAAGAAGACCCTGGAAGAACTGAATTTTCAGTTCAAAAAAAGAAGTTGCACAAGCAACTGGGTTCCGTACCCGAAAACGGAAGAGGTTTTAGGTCGGCTCCGAATCCTACCAAGATGGTCAGTGTGCCCCTACACACTGGCCACTGGTAACCAAATCAATACTTGCAAATGGCTTGTATTATTTGGGGCGCTTATCAATGCATTGTTTTGATACGTTGTGCTTTGGAGCACCATGAGGTAAGGCCGTCACCGGCAGGTACTCACGTAAAACACACCGAACGTTGTCCATGCGTCTGTCGGTGCAAGCGATAACTTGAGTAAAAATTGAGGTATCGTAATGAAACTTTGTTGTGTTTGTTGGAAAAAGGTAAGGACAAATTCGTAGATGGCCGTAATCGGACCACTGCCACGCTCTCAAAACGCCATGAAACGAACCTTATAAAGTGCGATAACTAAGCACTTAATTAAGATATAGAACTGTAATTCGGAACAGTGGATCGCATTAGCTATTGGCACTGTGGGCTAAACATTTCGAAAAATGGGAGTGGCCCCGCCCTTTAAGAGGCCTTCCATACCTATCTCCTAAATCACTAAAGCTATTATGACCAAATTCCCTCAGAAAAAATCCCTTAAGCACCACTAGCGACACTGTAAAAATGGAAGAAATCACAAAATAACGTCGCCCACTCCCCATATAACGGTACTGTAAAATTTGTATCCGACTTTGTACAGAGGGCTTTATAGGAGCCGGGGTCAAAATTAGACGATGGATTGACTGATTTCAATCAAATTGCATTATCCTGACATGGTTATGTTGTAGTGTGAAAATGGACGATATCAGATTACCACCACGCCTACTTCTCATATAAACAAATTTTTAAATCTATCTGATTCATTCACTTGCCAGTATTAAAATTAAGCACCAGTAAATGTATCGGGATAAAACTTTGCACTAATACTTACTTTGGATTATCCAAATCGAACCGAAACTGTTCACGTCCCGAATATATGGTTCTAGTCTCTATTTCGAACTTTTTACCGAAAATATCAGTCAATCTGTGAGATATTTATCAAATATAATCTTTATCTGATATTAAAATGCCCGTGTGCCAAAAATATGTTGAATCGGATCAATAATTCCCTTAGTCCCCATATACCTAATAGAAAAATTTGAGAACTTACGGCCAACTTTATATCGCAAATATCGGTCAATATGAGAGTTATTTTAAAGAAATTAAAAGAGCGTGTGTTTCTTATAAAAATGTATCTTTGTGCATACAACTAATATCAGGATTTTAAAGCATCCATGACTTTATCCCAGATATATTGGTGATGGTAAGTGAGGTACCTTAATGAAACTGATAATAATAAGTGGTAATGGCAAAAATGAATAAAAGCGGTTCAATACTATCCCTATCTTTCATATACCAATTATAAGATTTTCAAACTTACGATTGGCTTTATACCGTATATATATCGACCAATACGTGAGACATCTTAACAAAATTAATTGAAGGGATAATATTGGACATACTATTGTTTAATGCCGAAAATATGTGAATTGGTCTACGAATTAGCCAAACCCACATATACCATATATGTATAATGATTTTCGTTATTCTAACAAATCCTATGCTGAATATTTTGTCGTCGTTTAGATCTTACCTACTTTATACAAAAGTGTAAACTTGAAAACGACTTATACAAGGTACGTTCCAAAGTAAACAGTAAAAAAGTTGAAAATGTAAACTCTAGTGGCACCATCTTTATGTCGACTAGTGCGTTAGAATCTGTTATCTTTTATCGACTTACTGTAAAAATTTCTTGACATTTCATCTATTGGAAGTAAAGTTATTGCGTTTTAAGTGTCAGTATGTTTTTGTCAAATGAGCTTCGAACCATCATTAAAGAGCCAACATTAAATTTTGTTTTGAAATTGGTAAAACTTGTACCGAAACGTTTTAATTGATCAAACAAGTTTATGGCGATGATTGCCTATCCCATAGCAGAGTGCACGAGTGGTTTCAACGTTTCAAAGTGGTCGTGAGGACATAAATGAGAAATGAGCCGAAACCCAAAAAATCGAGCCTGGAGAAGTCAAAAGTGAAGACAATGCTGATTTGTTTTTATGATTCCAAGGGTATTGTCCACAAAGAACTTGATCCACCCGAATATCGCGAAGATGAAAGTTGGCGTTTATTGCACGATAATGCGCCGTCAGCCAGATGGCGACTATTCTGAATAAAATTAATTGATTTTGCCGATAAAACCATTTGATCTGTCGTTTTTTTAAAAGTCCTGTTTACTTTGGAATGCACCTTGTACAATCATCACCATAAATTTTGTTTATCAATTAGTATGTCTCAACAATATTTTTATAACCAGGTCAACAGAAATTTTTATATTTCCTCTTTTTAAATTTTAAATTGCACTTTTATTCTTTAATTGAAATGGCTGTAACTTTAACAACTGTCAACCGATTTACATGAAGTTGGATGCGTTTTAATGCTGCTGCTATAGATGTTGTACGATAACGCTCGGTTTTTGCCACACACCTTGTATAAACCGATTTAAAAATAATATCAAATTATTTAGATTAAGCTATGAAATTTTAAATTTACCATATTTTAAACCTACCTACAAGCAAATTACGTGCGTACAATAATATCATACAACTTTCAATGACTTAAAAATCACACAGACCATACAAAAGTATAAATATAAAATATTATAATCTACGCTTAGACGATACATTACTTTCGTGAAACCATTTTTTACTCACCTACAACTGCCCACATAAGTATACTTCAGCAATGCATTAAAGTACTTCAATTTGTTAATCGATAAATATATTGTGCCCGCTTTTGGTTGCTTTAAATTTAGCACTAATACTATGTGATTATATGTACGGTACTACTTAAACCAGAAATTAAGTGATTGCAAACGGTAATTTAAGTTATTAGTAAGCCACACAAACTTTTACTAAAACTACTGTATTTGTATATACGTATATTTAACCACTAGTATTTTACGCCATTAACAATAACTATACTGGTAGGCTACACTATGACTAAATTTATATGGGTAAGTTATACTGCTAAAAATTTATATTCATTCGTGGGTGCACAAAACTCTCATCATTTAACCATTCCCGCTGGAGAGCATAAAATTCACATTAAAAATTTTTCAGGTCCACATAAAAACTCAACGGCATGTTAGGCGCGAGGATGAGAAGCACGAAATTCACGAGTCGAGGTTGTAAACATCCAAAGCTTACATTGTTACATGTGACTGAGTATAAATTATGCATAACGGCAACACGTCACGCGCATAAACACACGGTCGGTAATAAACAAGCCACCTTAGCATAAGCATAGGCGCCAAAGCACAGTTAAGAGTACAAAGCGCAAATCCACAAATATACTCACAGCTTCTGACCCTGTGTTCGAATTTGATGCTTTGGCATTGACACTGACCTCAACCCGCCACATGTAATCATTACATTGGTGTTTTGTATTATTTCCTCGACCACATTATCATAAACAATATATTTTTGGTAATTTTCTAAAATGTTTAATTAACAACGTTGAACACATTTCAAAGCAAAACATAATTTTTGCACACATCTTCGGTAAATAACTGCACAAGCATATTTACTGTTATATGCATATACATGCACATACATATGTATTTATTAAAGGGATACACTTAACTTCATATACAAGTATGCACATTTCTACTTTTATATGTACTTATTTATATTATATATATAAAACACTTTGATGTATTATTATAAGCGCGCTTAGTATTTAATCAAGCAAAATCCTTTGTTTTGTCACTGTAGCTGGCCAGCAGAGAACCGTTTTGATTTCTGGCCAACTCCAAACTGAGTCGGGTGCATTGAGATCCCTGCGTTTTATACGAGTATGTTGTTAGTTTTCACGCGCCGCCATTGATGCCGTTGAAACCTTAACGCTGCTGCTGCGGATACTGGCGTTGGTTGTTGCTGCCGCATACACGTTGTTGCTTGTACAATGGTAAGTACAATGTTTGTTTAGTTTTTGGTTTTATTTTTATTTGTTGTTTCGCAAAGCCATGCGCCTGATAAAGCTTTTTACAACAAATCTTTGTTTTCAACTTATGTCATATGCAGCACCACGACGATAGTAAGCTTGTCGGAGCTTTTTAGGAGTTGCCAACGCTTGAAAAATCGCAATTAGACTAGTGAATAATGAAAATGTTTCAAAATAATTACTATTAATAGTTAATCACTTTCTTAAATAAAACGTTTTCACTATAAAAATATATGTATATATAGAAACGAACTTTTCGATTCCAACCGATTTGAAAGAAGCCAATAGACAGTATTCTTGATTAATCCATAAAGAAACCAAAAAACTCAGCACTTAACTGAACCCATCCGATATTATTTTCATGTGTGCATAAACACTTTGATAAACCACTAAACTAAAATTCCAGACTAAAACTCAGAAGTTTTTGTAGGATTTATTATTACAAATTAAGTGATATTAGGAACATCACAGATTTATTACCAATATTGTTTTGATAAAAAAAATTTGAACATACCTTACAAAAAATGTTCAAAGAAATCTAAAATTACACATTGTTTAAATACAAGGTATGTTCAAAAAATAAAGGGAATTTTAAAATTACAATTTCTCGAGTTTGGAGTGTCCAATTGTCAAAATCTATGTTATTATGTTGATATACATATCCCAAAAATCGAGTTTGAGAGCTGTTTCGACGATTGGAATATGTGCGTAATCGCATTGGGACTATTTTGAAGGCGACAACAATAATATAGACAAATGAATAAATATAATTTTTTGAACACACCTCGTAGTGAGAAGGAGAAGGTCTGTTGGTCATCCAAAAACAAAACATCGTTGATTCTCAGCTACCTAAATAAAAAAGATCAATTTTTAAGCTTTTCGTTTTTTTTTTTGTAAATACAGTACTAAATAGCTGTCATTTTTAAACTTTTCAAAAATTTCAAAATGTTTATGTCTAGACTAAAATACCTCCCTTATTGTATATTACAGTTTTTTGTATAAGTATTTTACTTTAAATATTTCATATTTTATTAGTATGAAGGGGAAGTCTTTCGAGTTCGAGGTTTAAGAAATATAGCAGGCGATTTTGACGACAGTGTCATAATTTTTTCACTCTTCATAAAAGTTCAGTTTAGTTACATAACAAACAAAAAAAAAACATTTTGGTTAAAAAAAGACTTATTTGAATCAGTATAACACAAGAGCTCTAAGCTTTTTAGCACAACGCACACAACGAAATGTTGTACGTGAAAATCCTGGTACTAAAGTAAAAACGAAAGCATTTTCGAGAGCATAGCGCCATACATTTAAGTTGTTTTGGCAGTTAATAGAAATATTTTTGGCGCGAATCCGTGTGACATGCCTTGAACGGTATGCAGCAGGATAAACTCGTAAAAGTTTCACACAACACAAGCATACATATGTACGAGTACATGTATACCATATACTCATTATCACCTCACGAGCGACTTTGGGTATGTAGTTCAAGTATATTCACACACATGTATATACGTTGTTTGCTCGCGTGAATGTTGCTTGCAAACTTTTACGCATGCACTTATTTATAGATGTGTATATGCCTGTGTGTTGTTCGTTTACCACATATTCAGTCATACATGTCCGTATAAGTATGTACATACATACATATGTATATGTAAGTTACACTCGTGTTCATGAAGGAGGGAAGACACGTGAAAAGCAAACACTTTAAATGCTTGATTTCGCGAGAAAAAAGCTTAATGTCAGCTTACGTAATTCACTGAAAGCGACAATTATTAGTACTGGGGGTTACATGAATATTTGATAGGTATATTTAAATTATTTAAAGAGTATAGACTAGGATAAATACATGCAAACTTAGAACTCTAATTCGCTTGAAATACAATATTTAATAGTATAACTGTACGCAAGTATACAAATTTTACGATGACTGTAAGCAGTTGGGCTGATAATGATCTCGCCATTAATCCGAGGAACACGGAACTGGTTTATTTACTAGGAAATACAAAAAAATGTGTAGGCATCTACCATTGTTGGGAGGAACGTATCTCCGGCCTGCAGATAGAGTGAAACATGTTGGTCTCATGACAAGAAGTAGTTCTTTGGCTCTATGAGATCATATTCAAGCCTATAGCATTTTATAGAAGTTTTGTATAGTGGAAGAATTCGAGGAAGGTATGGGAGGGAAGCAGTTGCTGGAGAAGAGAGGCGGTGAACTTTTTTATGGATCAAAGCTTACGGGAAGGGTTGGGGGAGGAATATACTGTCGAGAACTATCTATCAATTCCCAGTTCAGGCATCCGTTGATCATTACAGCGACTTCCAAGCGGAGGTGGCTGCCTTAAGGTAGCAGTAGATGTGCTGCTCCGGAGCGCAGCCTCTTCCAGAATGGTGACTTTCACTCCAATAGGATGTCGCCGATATTAGCCTTGAGCTCGCTGATTACATTAGTTTTGGTGCTTATACGTAGCAGAATCGCAGAAGACTGCAAGTTTTATGAGCTTGCTTGCTTCTTATGGTCCAGTACTAGTCAGACACTAACAACTGTACGATTGTAAGGTCACTCAACAGTTATAGGAGTTCTAACTGGACAATGCCCAATCGGGATCCATGCGATAAGATTGATAATTTCACCGGATGTCAGTTGCATAAGCTGTCTAGAAGATAAGATATAATCATCACAACACTTTCTTTTCGAATATCCTGCCTTTGCCAGATCAAGACTAAAATACCTCGGATCTCACACTTTTACACACAAACCCCACGTGAAAGTATCTAAGCAGTTTTGTGAAAGGTTCAAGGCGTTTTTTCGAGAGTAAATATCAAAATACAGGAGATTTTATCTGGCTTCATAAAGAACTGTACTGTGTGTAACAGAACAATCTAAGTGTGAGCCAGCTTTAAGGTTCACGAATCATGGAATTCTTTATACACTTGTCTCATGTGTTGTCGAACAAGAAAAGCGTTTATAGCGTCTTTTTGTAAAGGAGGTACCATTAACTAGGTAATTAAAAACACTGGACTTTACTATAGCTTCTGTGTAGCGGAAGTTAACTTTTTTTTCTTGTTTTCAAATACATGTTTAAAAAACTGTCAAGAAATTACCCTTTACAAAGCAGCAGAAAAATATTAGCATCGCTGCCTATAATTACGTCTACTCACTCAGTTTCTTGGGGACAAAAGGAGGTACTCGAAATTTCAGAAATAGATATATTATTTATAAGGTCTCCGTCGCTTTCTTCTGTGGGTTACAAACTTCGTGGCAAACTTTTGCAAGAAAGCGCAAAGTAAAAATGGTTTTGAACAGACTGTAACTTGTTAGAATGCATTTGGTAACTAGGCTTCTATACCACCGAGCCATATTTCAATGTAGACCTAATCAAAGTTGTAAAAATAGTTTTAGTAACGTACGGATCTCTAAATTCTTTAGATCAGCGTTTAACAAAACTAAGAACACCTTTTACTTTCAAAACCATAGTATCAATATGAAGACTAAAATTGAGCTTAGGGCCATTAACTACCAAATAGTCTATAGTTTTTTATTACACAAAGGGAAGGGTGCACATATCTACGGGAAAAGCACATCGTCGTACATTTTTTTTACAAGTACATATATCTGTTATCAGTTTATCAGTGGAAATATATGATTTAAAAACTTTATGTTGTCTGCATATAATAAAATAGAGTCGAGAGATTTACCCTATCGCTTTACTAAAATCAGTGTATGTAGTTATATTCTAACATAGGCATGCTTATGTGCCCTAAAGCTCAATGATAGCTGATTCACAAATTCAAGTAAATTTGTTAGAGTAGATTTTCGTTTACGAAATCCATGCTGAGAAAAAGACATTAAACGGAGAAATCGAAAAAGTTATACGACCTAATTTCACTTCTATGCAAAGGGATTATGACTGTTTCCATATTGAAGGAAATATACATTGTTTAGAAGTGGAATTACATATCCTAAGCACAGGTGTGTAGATATGTATATTGGCATTATTTTCCAAGAAGTATAAAGGTATTTGATATATATTTGAAAGATGGTTTTAACTTATTTAAATGAATTATGCTGATATGAAAAGTTTTGAGGATTATTAGTACAGTAGTAATTTGACTTGAAGACTTCTACAAACATATTAGAAAGCATGTGATTGTCACATGACATGATAGATTTATATTTGGGTTTGGACGTAAATTCGGAAATCCTGCGTTTGGAGTTAACGAAACCATAAAACAATTTCGAATTACGTAAATGATTATTTTTTACCTTATTTATAATTTTATATTTTCTAAAAGTAGAAGACCATTATCAATATTGTATGAGAAACTAGAAAATTAAAAAATTAAAAAAATACATATGTTTCTGACACATAACAATTTAATCAGCAATTCGGGGTTTCCATTATCGATAGTTTTTGCCATCGCAAAATTATTAGACCTTTATAGCAACTTTTTTTCGAGGTGTAGAACTTTAAGTTGACATTACTGTTCAAGAAGCAAACAGCTGTCAAGCTATTTATTTTCAGTTTGTTTTGGCAATTCATCATGAATTGACTCACGCCTGAACAACGCTTGCAAATAGTGCAATTTTATTTCGAAAATAATGGTTCTGTGCGGAATACGTATCGCGCACTGCGTTCATTTTATCGTATGATGCAATGAAGCGCACTTCCGATTAAAGGGCTACGTCAACAAAAAAAAACACTGAATTGAATAACCATGATGTCCAGGAGCTGTGGTTCCAACAAGAGAGAGCAACATGTCACACAGCTCGTGCCACGTTTGATGACCGCCTAATTTCCCGTTTGGGACCTGTGAATTTGCCTCCAAGATCTTGTGATTTAACACCGCTACACTACTTTCTGTGGGATTATGTAAAGTCATTGGTCTATGCGCATAAGCCGCAAACGCTTAACCGCTTGGACTACATCCGAGCCAGCCGTGGCGGTCATATGCCAGAAATCATATTTAATATCCATCGTTGTTTTATTGCAGTTTAAAGTTGTATACCTCTAAAAAAAAAACACCCTTTATATATAAGTAATATGCGTGTTCAGAAATTGAAGAGAGTAACGAGCTACTTGAAAGTTGTTCACCCTTTTATGCTTAATTCTGATAACTACAGAACCTGTACACTTTGTGGAGCTAAAAACAAGTCAACAGGTGAATTATAAATATTCACGCCAACAACGTAGATCCACATGTACATAACATTTGTAGAAATAAGAACCTTTACACACACTCATAGCGCAAGTGTAGACGCGAATATTTCTGCAAAACGCAGAATCACACTTTCATTATCATTTCTTTACGCTTATTGTTATCGCATTTTAGTGGCTATGTATTCTTGTTGTTGTTGTTGTGCTGATAACAAAGGCACAGGCAAATATAGATACGATTATTTGTATGTATGTAGTATTGTGTGTGTATGTAGGCAAATATTTAACAGATATTATGACATATGAAGTGTTCTCACATATGTGTATGTTGTTGTTGTTTCTGTTGAATTTTATACCAATTAATTTCCCTGCTGTAGTTGCGCTATTATTATCTTTTTCTTTACTGTTTATGAAATTATTGATAAAACTCTCATTGAATTTTTGTTTGTTTAAATTTTTTGTTCTTTTTATTGCCTATTTTCATGCATCTATTGGGCTGTAGTTGCCTACGTTCTATTGAGAAATTTAGTCGTCAAAGAGTTGTATCGCTTAGCGATTCGTTGGCATTACGTTTTGTAAATTAGTTCAGCTTCCGCACAACCGCGACGGTGCTTGTGGGACACGCGTAGGTAGAATGTGTCAAAAGTGGACGGTGGATACATATACATATATAGAAATATAAGAAGTTTTGGACAAACTTACAAACCAATTATTCCGACAATAATTCTATCTTAATCAGAGCTTTTGTATCATATACATACAAGTATATACTTGTATACATATGTATGTATATATCTAAGTGGTCGTTTATGCGAACGTGTGCGCAACTGTCGTGCAATTGAGTTAATTGCTCCAAACCAGTTGGAAGTGTTAATTAGTTGTCATAATTAAGAGCGGTGAATCGATGTGAAGTGCTTGCCTTTTTAATGGCAACGTGTAATTGCGTGAAGCTTCGTACGAATTGCTTTAATTTATACACACTCGTTTAAGAACTTCTTCTACTACAACTACGAACATACATACTTATTATCTGTGTATTCATTATGGCCACGAACGGCAATGGTTATTCGCGCAATTCGAATGGCGCTGTACCGTCAAATGGCACAACGACTGTTCTTAAGTATGAGAAATCGTCATGTCTATTCTGCAACGAATGGTTCGACTCGCAAACCTTTACGGTAAGCTTTTGCCACAGACAACTATCTCGGTGAACATCATTAGATCTAATAAGCACTTCATCAAACAATTTTATGGCCAATCACTTTTCTAGTTTTATTACACGCTCATAAGTATTTTTTGTTCATATTACATTTACTGTTTATAATAATTTAATTATTGAGAACTATTAGTGTACGGTAGCTTTCTAAACAAAAAGCGATATCAATGAAATTCATAAATGGTGCAGTCTGTGCAAAATTCAAATTTCGTGAACATACTGAACCGACAAGAACTAAATTTTAATCGATCAGTTTGTATGGCAGCTATATTCTATACTACAGAGCAGCTTCTTAGAAAGAAAAAGGCGTCTGCGAAATTTCAAATCGATATCTCAAAACCTGATGTTGATGTTGTTGTTGTAACGGTTACATAGTCCCCGTTTGGGTGATAAATTCCAGATTGGTTATCGTCTAGGTCATAAAACGGGAGGTCCAGGAAACGAACTGTTTCGACGAGGTCGGACCATAGGGAAAAGGGTGTTAGATGAGTGGGGTTTGTTGGGCATGCAAAGAGGTAGTTAGTGTCATGCGGAGACTCATTGCACGGAGGACATATGTTTGGTATGTCGGGGTCTATTCTGGGTTAAGTAAGAGTTTAACCTGCTACAATATCCAAAACGAAGTTGCGCGAGGGTAACGCTTCTTCGTCTGCGTGGCACTACATCCAGGCGACCATATTGGGGCTGCATAATTTAGGACCGGCCGGCCGATTGCCTTGTATGTCGCCAGCAATGTTTATTTGTCTTTTCCCCAAGAGCTGCCGGCAAGTGATTTGAGGATTTTATTGGCTCTGTACTTTGGCAGTTATCGCGGTCGTGTGAGGAGTGAAGGAGCAAAGACTGTCTAGTGTAACGCCTAAAATTTTAGGGTTGTTTACCATCCGAATTTTGGTGCCATCGACTGAAATGTTTAGATCCAATCTGTACTCCTTCGTCCAGTTCGTAAATATGGACGCTGTGGATTTAGTGGGGGAGAGTGTCAGACTCCTTGCAGAGAAGAGCGAGAAAGATCAGAGAGATAACCGTTTACTTTCGAGCACATGCCATCGAGTTCATTGCCCGACGTCAATATCGTGCAGTCATCAGCGTACGAGGTCACGGAAATTACCTCTGGTGGTTGAGGGAGTTTCGAGATGTAGAAGTTAAACAGTAAAAGGGAGAGGACACCACGCTGCGGAACCCCCTGTTTAATTCTTCTCAGTTTGGAGTTTTGACTTCGAAACAGTACGGATGAATGCCGACAGCTCAGGTTCATGGTCCACCGCTTCAGCCCTGGAGGGAGCGCAGATTGTTCGATGTCCTCAAGTAGCGTTGTGAGGTTGACTGTGTCGAAGGCTTTCGACAAGTTCAACGCTACGAGGATCGTCCTCTCGTAGGGTGGCTTCTGGTTTAGGCCATGAACTATCTGTTTATGACGCTAAGTGCAGTGGTGGTGCTGTACACTTTCCGGAAGCTATGCTGATGTTCTGCTAGACTAAGGCGGTGAGTGAACGTCGGGAGTAACATTATTATTATTATTATTGTTTATTAGGAATAATATACAAATATTAGACCTAACTACATAGAGGAGCACAAGCAACGGTGGCCATCGGCTCCGAATGTTAATATATAAAGAAAAAGCTAAAGTAAAACTTATATTATATTTTGCAAGTTACATTCTACTAGAAAATTATAAATCTTTGTAATATTATCATGAGATGGTGTAGTTAATAATTTATGATACTGATCAGTGATAAAGTGATTATTGTTAATACTCTCTAAAGCCAAACAATTGTTGAAAATGTGATCGATGGACAAGTTGTTCCCGCAGTAAGGGCAATTTGGTGGCTGTCTGCCGATGAGAATGTGTTGATGTGTTAACTGAGTATGACCTATCCTTAGGCGTGTGAAGATGGTTGATTGTAAGCGACTGATGCTGGTGGGGTAAATGACTTTGTTCCGAGCACGATTGAGATTTGTGTATCGGTGTTCAAATCGTCTCCACTCCATAAGACTTTTATTGCGACTATGTTCTTGAAATATTTTCTTAAGGTATTGTTGGGATCCCAAGGTATTGTTTGGGATAAACAAAATTGGTGTTGGATGATACAGCTACATGAGTCTCTTGAATGCAGATAACATCTGGATTTTTCTCTTTAATGAGCAATTCAAGCTCATGGTAGTTATTAATATAGCCGTTCATGTTCCATTGAACAACTTTAAACGTCATTAAAAAAAAAATATAGTGGGAAGCAGATGTAAATATATGTATGTATAAAGGCGTATTTAATTTTAATTTATAGCTGAGTTTGGTTTTGCGTAAGTCACATGTCATCATCTGACTTGACATGCATTTGAGAAGTGGAGATTACTCGTGAGAGCGAAGGGAGAGGGTCGTAAAGAGTTTGGGGTTCAGCAGGGTGGGAGAGGGATATGCCGGTGAGAGTATGTTGATCTGTGGGGAAATCATTGTTGGTTTGATATGAAGAATTATATAAAATATTAAGAGATGAGGAATAAGACGAGAAGTCATACTCCTGATTATTTGTTTCTACAAATGAGGTGGGTTCTGTTGCTGAAGAGTGAGGAGAGTTGGTAAAGTCCATAGGAGGGGGATAATTGGAGGAGGTGTTTTCTTTATGATCAAGATTTACAATTTGGTTATTGTCTTTGTTATTTTTTGTTTCATCTGAATTTTTTACTTCGTTGTTTTTGTTGGTTGTTGGTAGAGAATCATTTTTGTTTGCATTTTGGTTGGATACTATGGCAGCGTAAGAGCTGCTAGGAGAGCTTTGAATGGTTTGTTGTTCTTTGTGCGTTTTGATAGCCTCGCGCATAGAACATTTATTTATTGGTTTTATTTTGAGGATTTCTTTTGCTTGCAGGAAGTTACTGCATTCTCTGAAGGAGGATGGGTTTTGTTGGGAATAGTTGGCGCAAAGAATGCGTTCGCATTCTTGTGGGGTATGGGGAGGAAGGGAGCAATTTACACAAAGTGGAGAACGGTTACAATGTTTGGTGTATGCCCTAGAAGCTGACATGATTTGTAGCGCATGGGGAGGGGTATGTATTGTCGAACTAAAACTGTACACCAGGCAATATCAATTTTACTGGGTAGGTTATAAAGATTAAAAGTTAGCAACAACACTCCCGTAGGACGTTCTTTTCCTTCTATTTTTTTTAGGAATTTATAGGCTGCTACGACACCTTGAGAGCTCAGTTCTTTAATAATTTCCTCTTCACGAACATTATTAAGGAACGGCGCATAAATTGTGCCTTTCACATGGTTTAGGGATTGATGGAATGTGACACATCACATATGTCTCCAAGAGTCTTAACTCTGAGGAATTTGTATGCGATTTCACTGCTTTTTACTAGAAGAAGTAACTTTCCATCACGTAGGAAGGTTATTGAGTGCACTTGGCTGCTCATCTGCTGGATGGCACGGTGTATAGCGAAACAGGAGTAGGATGAAAGGGGTTTTAATGGGTCGGTTGTACTAATTATTATGAATTTTGGGTCAACGATTTTGGTTTCACGGAGCAAAAGGAATGCAGATAAGGGTGCACTTATTTCGTGATCACTTTTCTTTTTTCTTTTTATTTGACCGGTATCGAGTATTGCGCAACGATTAGCTTCGCGAATTCGACGATTAGCTTCGCGACGTTTACTTTAACAACAACTATGCGTATGTGGTAGGCGAGAAAGAAAAATAACTAAAGAAAATATTCAACACACTTAGAAGTGGGGTGAGAAGAAACTAACTAATCAAGAGAACTCCGATACAAAGCAGACGTCTTATCGGCACGAGAGTTAGTCGAAGACTGTCGGGAGTAACAAGGCCTCAAGTGTCTTCACTACTGGGGAAAGAAGAGTTATCGGACGATAAGACTCCCCTTTGTTGGCGGGTTTCCCAGGCTTCAGTAGTGGGACAACTCCTCCGACTTTCCACACATCGGGTATTTGAAGAGTGGATATCGACAGGTTGAGGACCTTAGTGAGATAATTTACTCCCGTTGGGCCTAGGTGTTTTAGCATCAGCATGCTTATTCCGTTAAGGCCAATGAATTTAGACGATTTGGCCTTTGTGATGGCACTCTACCATCGGTGAAAGTAAGTGGTGCGCAGTCTTTTGGCATTTTGCGCAGCCGTCGAGTAACACATCATTTGGCCTTGTCAGTCGAAGGGTGCAGTATAAACTGCCAGCTAAAATAGCTCGCGCACTTCTTTGGGTCCGAGGAGGCATGGCCATCGAATTGAATTTCAACCCGATCATCATGTCTCCACGGATTTGACAGGGCCTTGACAGTAGTCCAAAGCTTACCTACACCGGTGGAGAGGTTACAGGACTTCAGGGGATCTATCCATTTGTCCGCTTATGTTGGTTTACCATTTGCCGAATCTCCAAATTGAGATCCCTTATTCGGGGATAACAGGGATCGGCATGGCGTAAGGTATCGCGCTCGTTTGCTAGTGCAGTTGCTTTGGCTAGGAAATTATGGCGGTTTTCCGCGATTATTCCAGCCGGTATGAAGCGAGCAATAGCAGCAGCGATCACCTTGCGGAATTGACGCTCGCCAACGATGACGTCCGTAGGAATGGGTAGTGCGTTGAAGGTGCTCTCGGTAAATTCTGTGAAGTCGACCCAGTTAGCTTTGTTAAAGTTAACAAAAGTGCGGTTGTCCACAGAAATAAAGTCGGGAGGTTTCTCGATCGAGATAATTATGGGCAGATGGTCTGATGCGAGAGTTAGCATAGGTCGCCAGGTTATACTATTTATCAGACCACCGCTAACGATGGAAATATCTGGCGAGCTATTACAGGTGCCCATAATTCTGTTGGGGGCTTCGTTATTCATTATGCAGAATGTCGAATCGTTAATCTCTTCCGCCAGCTCCATCCCCCTACGATCAGGCAGGAATGCCAAAGATCGTGATGCGCGTTAAAGTCGCCTAGCACCAAACGATTTTCACCACGAAGTAG